GGGGTCTATAAACACACACACAGACACACACACACACACACACACACCACACACACACACACACACACACACACACACACACACACACGTAAACATACACGCAAACATACACACATACACACAAACACGCACACACGCACATACATGAACACACACTTGCATAAACACGCTCACATACACACACACACACACACACACACACACATACATACATACATACATACTATAAAAACAACAGATACATACATAGTTTATATATATATATACATATATCAACTACATATTAAAAATGAAATACATATAAATGTATATTTATATATATTTGTATTTATTTATTTTTATTTATATGTGTGTGTACAAGAAGTTATTACTTCCAAGATATCAATAACTTCGCGTGCGTGTCAAAATACGATCAGTATTAAAACGGTTTTGTACTCCGAGTATTATTATAAGATTTATCTCCACCTGATAACCTGTCACTTCTCCTCTTGTTACTTGCCTCAGCTAATCATAGTGAATATTATTCGTACAAAAAGAATGACTTGAATATTATACTATTAGGAAAATACTATACATATATAGATATTATGTATTATGTATTTATATATATGATATATTTATGTGTTTATTTGTTTGTGTGCACGTGTGTGTACGTTTTGGTATTAGTGTTGTTTTATTTAACTTCGTGTTTACTAGCGAGCTTCAGTGCACAAAAAACGACAATATAATTTTTTTTTTGATTTTTTTTTTTCATTTTGCCAGTTTGATTTTGATTTTTTATTTTTTTTCCTATCTTCAACACTTTCAGTATCGCCAAGTGAAGTGGTTTGGTCAGTATTTGTTTCATCTACTTCTACGTATTATTATTATTATTCTTATTTTTTATTATTATTTTTATCATTTGTTATCATTAGAATGAGTCTTCATATGCTATTGAGCTTTTTATTTTAACTCTTCACTTCAATAATTTTTTTCTGATCAGTTTGGTTTTAGTTTTTGTTCGCGAGATGTCAGTAGAGCTTCATTAATTCTACAATTTGTTCGAAATGTTTTTTGTTCTTTTTTTTTCTTTTTTGGTAATGTTTTCGTCATTTTTCACTCGGTTTCATCGCTCTCATTGCCAACAACATCGCCATCTTTTTCATCATCGTCATCATCATCATCATATCATCATCATCGTCATCATCATCATCATCGTCATCATCATCATCATATCATCATCATTTTCATCATCATCATCATATCATCATCATCGTCATATCATCATCATCATAGTTAATACAAACGATGACGTCATCGCCTTCAATTTTGCCATTACCATTACCACTAAATATGAAACAAAGAATCAAAATTTCTATCATCTTAATTATCGTTATTTGAATATATATCGTTGTTTTTAAATTCGACTTTATAAATGCTTATGATGTTTTCTCATTTTGACGCTTATGGAATTAGTGTATAGTATATATATATATATATATATATATATATATATATATATATATATATATATATATATATATATATATACGTACACACACATACACATTACACATACACACACACACATAAATATACATACATACAGTTTATATTTCAAAAAACGGTTTTGATTTGATGGTTTAAACGTTAGTGTGTTTATCAAATTTCAGTTGTTCAGACATTAATAAATAAATGAATAAAACAAATGGCTTGCCTGTTTGTTTGTGTAAATTTCAACATTACACTCGTCCAATCCATTATTCATTTGCTCAGTTTTTAATTAAATAATTAATTTATTCATTCATTCTTTTGTTCATTCATTCGTCCATTCATTCATTCATACATTTGTTCGTTCGTTCGTTCATTCGTTCGTTCATTCGTTTGTTCATTCGTTCGTTCATTCGTTCGTTCGTTCGTTCGTTCGTTCATCACTTCATTTCTCATTCGGATATTATTTATTGAATTCTACCTCGTGAACATTCCATGGACGAGATGCGGCAAGAAGCATGGCGGGAAAACTTCATTCATCCAATCGTCATACTATCATTTCATTCGTTCGTTTATTCATTCATTTTGATACAATCACTCAATTATTCTATTTTTAGAAAAAAAAGATATATACAGTGAGTGAGAGAGAGAGAGAGAGAAAGAGAGAGAGTAGATGAAAGAAGAAAAAAGTAGAGTGACCAAGCAGGTGAATACGTAGAATGGTCAAAAATGAATGAAAGAGAGAGAAAGAAAAAGAGAGAGAAAGTAAATGAGAGAAAGAGAGATAGAGAGAGAGAGAGTAAAAGAAAGAGATATTGAGTAATTGATACTAATGCTTATTTATGTCCAACGTTAAAGTTCAGTGAAAAAATTGAATAAAATTTCAAAAACGAAATTATCATTCAGAAATCGAATTATGGCTTATCAGAGGAGAGGAATAACAATAATAATTTGAAAATAACAACAACAACACAACAACAG